TGTGGAGGGCAGTGTCACTGGCCCTCATGTGGGATCTGAACCGGGGCCCTCTGGCATCCCAAGCCAGTTCTTAACCATCGCGCCACTCGGCTGGCCCTGTGCTAAGTTTATTTTTCCATTAACCATATTAAATGGGTATAACTCATGTTACAGATGAGGAAACAGGTTTAGGGAGATAAAGTGACTTGCTCAAAGACAAACACCTAAGTATGCAAGGACTGGTATTTGAATCCAGGCAATTTGATTTCAGAGCCTGCACTCTTAGCTGCCACTCTGATTCTAAGTAATGAAAACTGGTCGGGGACAAGGGGATGGCATTCTAATCTAAGATCTCTTTTTGTTTCCATTTAGAAGAGAAAGGAGGAAAGAAAAGAAAAAAACAGAAACAAAAGCTCCTGTTCAGCACCTCGGTCGTCCACACCAAGTGACACTACTGGCCCAGGCTGCCTTCTCCATCTGGTTTTCTTTTTTCCGTGCTTTTGTTCTGCTGCTGTAATTTTTTAAGTATTTGAGTTTGAACAGATTAGCTCTGGGGGGGAGGGGGTTTCCACAACGTGAGAGGGAACCAAGATTTTAAATACAGTGTATTTTCCAGCTTCCCATCTTTACACCAAAATAAAGTATTGACACTCACAAGAAATCTCTCCTGCCAAGGTTTTTAGTTTGTTGCCAGGTAGTCTTTTTGACGCACGTGTAATTAGCTTTTCTCAACCCCAAATAAGTTTGAGTCCCTTTAACATCCCTTGGAGCAGTCCAAACCAAAGTATTAAATGGCACCACTCTGCTGTGACATCATGTGTCAGGGCATCATGGTTTCAGCACACCTATCAGTGTGTCTTTAAAAAAAAAGTTGAATCTTTTCTATCTGTTCAGTTCTTTTAAAGAAACAGAGGGATGGAAATAAAATGGATTTAGGATACCCCGCTTGAATTGCAGTTTTTCTTCTGAAAAATAGCCAGGTTGTGAGGCCAGACCTGGGTTGCACTTGTATGTATGATGAAGGGTTTTGCCGCTTGCACGTGGCTTCTATTTGGCAAGGAAAGCTGTAACTGTCACTAAGGAAGCCTCGGCCTGCCAGCTGTGACAGTGGCCTGAGTTGTAGAAGCAGGAGTCCAGCACACCTGGAGGCAGAGTAGAACAGGTCTGAAAGCAGTGGGGTTACCCACTGCCTCTTTGTTTAATATTCTTTTACCTTGGTTTGAGCTAAATTTGAGTGATGTGAATTCTTTTGCTGCTTAATAAAGTGACCTCTAGGTATAATAGAATGTGAAGGCAAATAGTTGCAATAAATCACCTGCACAAGCAATGTGAGCTTTCTGTTTTTTTAAAGTTCATTACAGGTCAGCTAGATAAACTTTTTATTTATTTATTTATTTTTATTGGAGAATTGGAGGGTGGGAACAGCGCTGGGGAATTGGGGGAAGGGGAACAGACAAATTGCTGTGGTTTTGTTCTTCAGTCTAGTTGTGGAGGACGTTGCTTCACTGGCCCAAGTTGGCACCATCATTGCGCTCTTCCCGGGCGAGGCATATCAGTCGCCGGCTTCTGGACAGCCGCTCACTGCGGCTGCTGGCCGCTCACGCTGGCTGCTGGCTATACACGGTAGCCCATGGCAACCCACTGCCATAGGGGCTGCAGCCTACGCCATCGCTGGCAACTCACGGCAGCCCATCCCCAGGTTGAGCTGTTGTTCAGCATCTTAGCTGTGGAGGGCAGTGTCACTGGCTCTCATATGTGGGATCTGAACCAGGGCCCTCTGGCGTCCCAAGCCAGCTCTTAACCAATGTGCCACTCAGCCGGCCCGATAAACTTAAATAGGTTAAAGCAACAGCTACTATGTGCTTGAGCAAGTTTGTTGTCATGGAGTAATGTCTTTCCTAGGGTCAGGTCTAAATAAAGGGTTCTTGAGCTGGGTTTAGCTTTAACCTGTCATTGTTTAAAAGAAAAGGTTCAGCAATCCTGGGTCAGGAACTCACCTGGGTGGATCAGGGTGTTCTAGCCTGAGATGAGGGTACATTGAAGGAAAAATCAGAAATCAGTTAAATGTGTCAAGGACTTTGAGTGACATCCATTTTATTATTGAGAAAACATCCTAGAAATGTCATTAGTAGGTAGATGAAAACTAACCACAATCTCTTGTCCCTCCTAATTCCCGTGAGTGTGGCAGTCTCATCTGTTTTCAGGTGCCAGGCAAGTAAGTATAAGTCAGTAGGGAAGCGTAGAACTGTAGAAAGTACCAGAAGTTGGCAGTTGCTACTTGGCTTTGTAATAATGAGGTCAGGTGAAGCCAGGTTTCCCCCCCCTCAAGAAAAGTGCTAGAACTGCATTTTTTTGTCAAGTTACCTAATGAAGTAGACAAGGAACCTGGTATTTTCAAGGTTCTATGGGTCAATACTGAGACCAGCTATAGCTCATTTGTGGTGTCTCTTTAATACTTCTACTCCAAATGACCTGGATCGCTTAGGGCCCATCCTATGGGCTGGGGGTACAAGGTCTGAAGTGGGAGGCGGTCTTCCCACTGAGGCTAGGAGTACCGGGGGAAGAGACTTGGCCAAACATGAACTTCCTAAGTATGCTAAATGCTGTAGAAGCCAAATACAATTTATTAAACCTACTCTCAGCCAGGCAATTAGAAACAAAGATAGCTGTAATTACAGAGGGTCCACAACCTGCAGAACCACTTGAGCGGGCGACCCTAGGAAAAGGTGACATCAGTTCAAGTGAATAAGTCCTCCATTTTGAGCTGCTAACTTGGCCTCTGATCGACAGTTATCCATTTTGGAGAAATGTGCAAGATGCTGCTGCCTCCCCGAATGTCCTGATCCAACAAAGGGGCCCTAAGACTTAGGCACAGTGCCACCTGCAGAGGCTCACTCCATTGCTTCAGCAGCTTCCTCACCACCATCCGAAAGGTCGTCCTCTCCCGACTCCTCTAGTAAACAGCTTCTTGTGACAGACTTCTGGATAGCTTCCCGCTCTCCTAGAGAAAGGCAGACAGCCAGCCAGCATGAATGAAAGATGTCTTGGGGAGTGCGACCTGAAGAAGGTCAGTCACTGCTTAGTGGACACTGGGCTAGTTAGTATTGTTTACCTTCATCCGTGCAGTTCTGCAGCAGGATCAACAGCTGTCTCCTGTTGTACTGAATCAGGAACTTCTGACATGTTCTAATTGTACCTGGTGTGTGAAAGAGCTTTGTTGGCAACAGCTTGTGAAATGTGTCTGACTCAAAGACTTTCAGAACTAGGGGAAAGCATCTTGTTCTTGGCCGGATAGCAGGAGAGCCACCCACCAGTCAAATCTGAACTCTGAACCTGTGACCTACTGAAAATCAGCCATTCCACATGCATCCCTACCTCCCACATGTAAGGTGTTGAGAAAACACGGGTAACGGTGTCCTTTGTTCTCCAAGTATGTGACGAAGGGTAGAGCTGACCACACAAGCTGGTAGAATTCCTTTCGGCACCGAAGTAGCACTATTCCAGTATAGGCGTTCAGGTATCGCACTACAGCAGGAAAAAAAAAAATCTTTTGGGGAAACGATTCTCAGGAGCAGGTTTAAAACAGGGTAACAGAGCCTATTATGTGCCAGAAACTGTTCAAGACAGTGGCACCGATGAGTTAAAAACAGATTCCTGAAGGAAAAAAATATTAGGACAGATCATTTATGGAAGGATCTGTTGGAAGGATAGACAACACCCAGTGCCTTGCACATTGCTCATAACTGGCTACTGATTTAGAATTTAAAAAAAATATATTTTATTGGGGAACTGGGGGAGGGGTACTGGGGGAGGGGAACAGGCAAGTTGCTGTCCTTTTGTTCTTCAGTCTAGTGTGGAGGACGTGGCTTCACTGGCCCATGTTGGTTTTATCATTGTGCTCTTCCTGGGTGAGGCAGTCGTTTGCCGGCCATTGGTCGGCCGCTCACGGCAGCGCACGCCTGCTGCCGGCCAGCCCCACTGCAGCCTACACTGTCCTCACAGCAGCCCAGCTCCAGGTCGAGCTGTTGTTCACCATCTTAGCTGTGGAGGGCACAACATCACTGGCCCATGTGGGATCTAAACCTGTGGCCCTGCTGCTCAGAGCTTGCCCTCCCAAGCCAACGCTTACGGAGCCACACAGCTGGCCCTGATTTAGAATTTTAAATGCTCTTCTAATTCACTAGCTCAAATGGGATGGGTTGGGGGGGGGGGGGCACGTGGAGAAAACCCTTGGCTGAAAAAAAGGTTCTAATGCGGCTAGGCTCCAGGATCTTGTAGCAACCAACTGTCTCACCTGATCCAGAAGTGTGCCTATGTGCATTTAACTCCCCAGGATTCCATTTCGAGCATATGGTATAAGGGAACAAATTTAATCTGTGGCTGTCGGGAAGGCCCTGTTCTTCCTCATTTACATACACACAATTTGTACTATACTGGCCCTTTTAAGGGCTTTTCAGGAGTAATGTTTTTCCCATGTGATGTCAATAACCAGTCAAATAACTTTAATTCTAACCATCCTGTTGAATTCAGTCGCAATCCCCAATATACATCTAATATACACATGTCAAATAGGTACAGGGGATTCTTGCCCAAAGTTCCACTGCATTCCGCGGTTATCTCCGCTTAACTTCGCACTCGTCCATACATGGGGCTCGGGGTCCCGGACGCCTATAAAGGACAATATCGTACAGAGGATGGTGCATCGGGCTTGACAGCTCCTGGGGTCGCTCGTGCTCCTCCTTCATCCCTCCCCTGGCCCCGGTTCCCTTCAAATCCTGCCGTCTGCCCGGTTCCCCAGCACCCTCGTACCTGCGAAGCCGATGGAGCAGGTGGCCGCACCGAAAGTCCCGTGTACGCGGGCGATCGTGTCCCGAATGAGGCTACCCAGCACTCTGTCATCCAGACTCAGGCGGCAGCGGGGGTCGTCAGACACCACTTCGCAGAGCAGGTACCTGCGGCGGGCCAGAGGAAGGTGAGCGCGCGGCCAGAGCCGTGGGCACCCAGCAGGGACTGCATTGAGAGGCAGGACACCGGCTGCTTACCTGTGCTTGAACCGCACCATGGCGACCTCCGCGCCTGGCTTCCCGACGCGCAAACCGGATGTCTGTGTTCCCGCTGGTGGCCAATGGGAACTTAGGCTCCGCAGTCTTGCAGCCACTCAAGAGAGGGAGGCAGAATGGGGGACGGAGCTATAATGTTGAGAGGCCAAGCCCAGTGTCAGTCTCCTTTAAGCCCCGCCTCTCTCTGCGTTTGCAGAGCGCATGCGTCCTGCTGAGATCTAAGCTGATTTTGTTGGTTGGGAGTTGGACTCTGTGTCGGAGAGGTTTGTGGCTTGTTCTGCTCCACGCCAGAGTTTGCAATACTGTATAGGATGCAGCTGCTGTACTAGGCGCCCTCGGAACGTTTACTTTCTATTATCTTGTAATACAGCTGTATATGCACTTACATTCTCTCCCCAAGCCGGACGGTGGAACTTTAGAGAACAAGACCTTGCATTCACAGGCCAGAGATTGACACAGGAAATCGGGCCCTTATTTTCAGGTTAGGGCTCGGTTTACTTTTTCTGTATAGCGAAATATGTAATTACTGTTTGGGATTTTCAACAATCTTAGGGAGACGGGTGTATTGTCTCGTTTTTTGTTTACAAAAGCAATCCGTGGTCGTTATATTGTCTAATTTTAAAACTGAAAAGCACAGAGAAATAAAAATAAATGATAATCCCAGCACCGAGAATAATTGATCATGTAGTGTGTTTTCTTCCATTATTTTCCCCCTATGCCTGAGGTTCTCAAAGTGAGATGCATGGACCATTGGGTTTTCTGAGACTGCCTCAAGGTCAAAATCACTTTGATAATAACACTAAGATGTTATCTGCCTTTTTCACTCTCTCAGAGTGGACAGTCAAGTTTTCCAGAGGCTACAAGACATGTGTGGACATTACCGCTCTAACGGCCAACGGAATTGTGTTTTAAACATTTCTGTTTTAACATTCATGGTAAGTATAGATATATTCCACAAAACAAAAGCTCTTTGGGATCCTCAATAATTTGAATGTAAAGGAGTCCTGAGATAATGAAAAAAGTTTGAGATGAGAACTGTTGCCTATGTTAAATTGTATTTTTTATTTTCTTTTTAAGAATAAGATCATAATATTTAAAGGGTTTTTTTTGCTTGAATATCTTCTTTTAAAACTGCCTCATTGAGGTATAACATACATAGAGTGCACAACTCAATGAATTTTTACGTATGTATAGACTCATGTAACCACCTCCCAGATTAAGAGAGAGATTTCCAGCACTCAAGAATGTTCCAGTGCCCTCTTCCCAGTCAAAAACCTTCCCAGAAGTAGCCTCTATTCTGACTTCTATTATGATAGATTAGCTTTGCCTGTTCTTGAACTTTATATAAATATCCACAACATGGTGTGTGTGTGTGTGTCTCCTTTCGCTTAACATAATGTCTATAAGATTCATTCTTCTTTGACTATATTTTCATGTCAACTGTTCTGCCATGTTAATTTTTTCAGCTGCACAGTATTGCATTCTTTGGCTGTTAAATTGATCAATATTCCCATGATGGACGTTTAAATTAGTTCCATGTTTTATTATTGTACCCAGCACTTTGATGCACACAACCTAGTGACCACGTCTTTATACATATCCCTGACTATTTGTAGAATTGTCATGAACTTGGCTGGCCCTGTGAGGTCCATGAAGGGAGGCAGGTTTCACAACCGATTATTTGAAAGATCTGGAATGAGTCCTCAATTTTCCCATCTCTCACTCTTCGCCACCTTAAAGGAGGGATGCTGAGGAAGTAAGCGGGGAGGGGAGGCAGGAGAGCCCTGGCCTTGCTGAGAGACCAGAGTCTGCTGCTGTTACCTTTCTCCTCGCTCCAGGAAGCACCTTATGATCCAAAATAAAAGTCTCGCCAGCGTCCCCCTTTTGCCAGCAGGGGGCATAAGAGGCCAGTAGTGTGTAGAGAGAGACAGACACCGCCTCAGAGTACCCCTTCTCCCTCCCGTCCTTAAAATAACGCCCCTAACACTTCCCAGCCTTCAACTCACTTAAATCCCAACATTTTGTGGGATGCAGTTGGGGCTCAGACCAAAGTCACACATCCAGTAAGAAGCAGGATCAGAATTCGAACCCAAGCCAGCCAACTCCAGGGTTCCTGTTCTTGTCTACACCGATGATGTCCTTCCTGTCCATGGTTTCGCGTGTTCACTTGGTGTAAAATGGAGAGACTACAGATGTAGGTTCGAATCCCCTCTCCGTCATTTTCCAGCCACGTGATGTGGGGGAGGGTAATTCACATCTCTAGATTTCATCTGTGCCACAGGATAATAATGGTTTCTCCCTCACCGGTGGATGTGAAATTTAAACGAGATAACATGGTCAAAACTCTTGGCACCGAGTGCACAGTAAACGCTTTTTTTGATGCATGATCTAGTCCTCCCCCCAGGCACAGCCCCCAGAGGAAGCACAGTGGGGCAGTCCTGGGCCCCCCTCCTCCGACCAGGCCCGGCCCCCTGCCGACCCCTTGAGGCTCTGGACACCCGCGGTAGCCCGGCGGGGCCGGCAGCCGGGGCGGGCGGCATCGGCGGCGCCGCCAGCTCCCCGCGGTAATTAGCCTGTCCCGACTCGGGCTCCGCCAGCCTCTAATTACACGTCTCCTAATGAGGCCAGCGGCTGTTTGCAATTACCCAGGTCCCCGCCGCGCGGCGCGGGAAGCCACGGGGGAATCCGCCGGCGGAGGAGTGGAGGGCGGCCGGGGTCGCGAGATCCGCTTGGCGGCGCAGGGTGTGTGCCCGGCCCGGCGCAGGCGGGTGCCCACCCACCGTCAGTCACCTCGATTCTCTCCCAGTGGTGTAACAGAACCATTATTATCCCCATTTACAGGGGAGTAAGGGGACTGAGGCTCAGAGAGGCGAACTCAACGCAGACACAAAACTCAACGCTCGAAGAGGCTCATAGTGACCTCTGACCCGGAGCCTGTGTTGTTAACCTGTACAGGTACTGTCTGGATCCGTGGGGTGGGTAATCGGGGCTGTTACTCCTGGGACTCTCAGAAGGTCCCAGATCAAATGAATTGGGGGGTCGGGGAGGGGGATTGGGAAACTTCCTTTGAGCGCTTCCCCTTCTTCCCATCTGAGGGTTCCCAGGCTCAATGTGTCCTTTTGGATCAGACACAAAGCTGAATATTAGCTCTGGCAAGTCCTTTAAAACTTACTTGGAAACATAAATCACACAACCCATTTCACAGACTGGAAAATCTGGCGCATTCCCTAGGTGGTCCAGGCAACTGCTAAAAAGCTCCCCTAAGATGGGGGTGGGAAGCTACAATTGTTCACCTTGTTCCAGGACCTTCTAGGGGGATTCAGAGGAGCTGCCTTTAGTTTTCATCTTTATCTTCTGGGCTACCACATATTAGGCTCTTGCTATGTGCTAGGCACTGAACTAAGTAAGCACTTGATGTGTTTGACTTCATTAGTCCTCGCAACAACCCCATGAAGGCAGGTACCATTATTTTCTGAGGCTCAGGGAGGGAAATGACTTGCCCAAGGTCACACAGTAATTTCAGGCTTGTAAAGGCCTTTTGTCTCACCACAAAACCTGTGCTATTAACCCCTTGGTCTCTACCTCTTCCGGGCTGTCGGGGACCTAGAAGGATGTTCAAAGAAGTCAAACCCAATTGGGGTGCCATCCTGAGGTGAGTTTGGCATCCAGGGGTTCCCTATCAGAGCCTGGGTGCTGCCATGGCGGATGGTGGCCAAGGAAATGTGTTGTCTGCTTCAGCATTTTGTTAAGCAGCCGCTGCTCATTAGGGGCTCCTGCTCCTCTAATCCAATCAACCAATTCCTTGTAAAGCCTTTACGGGGACAATCTGGATAAAATTAAGCTCTCCATCTGCCTGGCCAGGGGCCTGGGGAGCTGCCACATCCTCCAGGTTGCTGGGGCAGACATGGCCCTCCCTGGACCTCAGAGTCAGAACATCACATCTCCCTCCTCCCTTATCCTCCTCTGCCTTACGGACCTCTTTCCCCTTCCCTCACCCGCTGCGAGGATTCGCTCATCCAAAAATTAATTGAAATTACAAGGGCACCACTGTTTGACCCAGCAATTTCTCCGCCAGGAATTGATCCCACAGAGATGCTTGCATTTGTGCCAAGTGACAGGTGACTAGGATGTGTCTTGCAGCATTGTTCGTGAGAGCAAAAGGCAGCTTCACATAGCTAGTAAGCAGCAGGGCCAGGATTTGGACTAGGCAATCCATGTCTTTAACCACTATCCTATACAGCATCTGTCTTTATGTGCACTGGAAAATTACCAAAGGTGACACAAAAGCTGTTGATGGTGGTTATCTCTGGTGAGAGGAATTAAAGGTGTGAAATAGGAGGGAGAACTTTTTACTGTGTCCCATTTTGTACCATTTTGTTTTACCATGTGCATATGTTAGTTTCATAATTTAGAAGACTTACTGAGCCCCTGACCCCAAAGTATGTTAATAGTAATACGTACTTGCCTTTACCCTGGAGTTGGGTACTATGATTATTCCCGTTTTACAGGTGAGGCAGGTGAGCTCACCCAGGTGGTCTGGCCAAGCCACGTGACTATGAATGGCAAAGTGGGACTCTCAAGCCAGTGCTCAGTCCCCTAATTTACATTAGCCTCATGGAATTGGAAGATTCAGAGAAAAGTGGTTAAAGCATGGACACTGTAGCCAACTTACCTGGGTTCAAGTCCTGATGCATCCACTCACTAGCTGTGTGACTTTGGACAAGTCACTTCCCCACTCTGAACTCCAATTTCCTCTCTGTAAGGATTAAATTACTTATCTCCATGTCAAATGCTTAGAACAGGGCCTGTCTCATCCTGAGTGCTCAAAAAATGTTAGGTATTTTTGTATCATTGTCCTGAGTGGTGTCTTCCCCAGTTTCAAGCTCAGAGCAGTTCCTTCTCTCAGCTGGTGCGTCCAGCCCTGGCTGCTCTAGTCCTCTCACTGAAGGCCAAGGCCCAGCCACCCTGTGCTCCAGCCTCTAGCAGAAGCCCTTTGGAATCAGCTCTCCTGGGTTATCTCAGTGTGGTGGCTGTGATCAGAACTGATCACATCACTAGAGCTGGAAAAAGGGGCAGAGCCATAGGGCTGGCGTGGCCCAGATCCAGAGTGAGGCTGCGACGGGCAGCCTCCCAGTTCGGGATGTTCCCAGCGCCTTCCCACCACTCATGCTTGGAGGGAGAAGGGCCTCAAAATAGCTGTTGCTTCCCCAGCACGGCGCTAGGCCAGGGACAGGAATAGACATCTGGGGGTGGCTGCCTCAGCTTCCCTCAGGGGCCCTGGGGGTGCTGGGAATAGCTAGAGGCCAGGCACCCCCCCCACCCAGTGCGGAGGGATAGTTCAGCTGTCAATATGCAGTGACCCACCCATGATGGTCCAGTCCATGGGAAGTGTTGCCCCAGCTGGGGCTGGCTGTTCAGCAGGTTACTAGCACTGGCCAGAGATCGGCCAGGGCCTGGATTCTTAGACCAACAGGAAGGGCCTTTCAACACTGGCTTCTACAATCCTCTCTTGGCAGGTGGGGAAACTGAAGCCCAGAGAGAGGATCACAGACTTGAGATCACAAAGCTGGTTAGAAGCCAAGCTGACAGGATAGGCAGGTGTTAGGGCTTTGAGAGGCAGTACAGGGTGGTGGACAAAGGGTTAAAGGACTCAGGCTGTCTGGGCTCAAATGCAGCCTCCACTACTTAGGATCTGCATGCTCTCAGGCCCCAATTTCATTACCTGTAAAATGGGCACAATAATAGTACCCACCTCTTTTAGTTGGTTGTAAAGACTGAGTGTGTTAATACCTGAGTGCTGTTATGATTGTTATTGTTTTCTTACCAGATTCCTCACTCGTTTATTCCTAAGGCATAAACATCTGCCATGTGCCAGGCACAGTGCTAGGCCTAGGTCAGTGTAGGTCCCAGGGTAGCAGGGTGAGACCAGTTGACGTTTCACAGAGCCTGCCGTGTGCCAGCTTCTGTGCTAAGCATTTTTATCTGCAGATCTCATTTATTCCTCATGACAGCCTATGAGGAGCCATTACCGTACCCTATTTTACAGATGAGGAGAGTGAGACTCAGAGAGGTGAAGTCACTCCTCCAGGGTCACACAGCCAGGAGGTAGCAGAGTCAGGATTTGAAACCAGGGCTGCCTGCCTGTATAGCTCATGCAAGTAACCACTATATGACACTGTCACTTTTCTAGGGAGATGGACAAGTTGTTCAGTTGGTGCGATCCAGGGGTTGGGTAGGAGGTGTTGGGTGCATGGAGGAGGGTTCCCCTCTCCCTGCCTTGACATGTATCACCCCAGCCCCCATGTCATATGTAAGGTGGCCCCCAGCCTATACTACCAAATTCCCACCTCCATCTCTTACCATCTCAGAGCCTGTGCTAGGCTCTGAGGACACAAAGAAGACTTCATCACCGCCCTGAAATTGTTCATGGTGCAGTGAGAAAGACACGTTTCTAAATGGCAAGAGCAATTGTGATGATGGTAAGAATGGGGGGCAAGTGGGTACCTGGAGGATGTACCTAACTTGGCCTGGGAGGTCAGGGAAAGCTTCCTGGAGGTGGTGATGCCTGAGATGAAGCCCAAAGGAAAGTTAGCCCGAAGGAGAAGAGAAGTGGTAGGAAAGAGTGTTCTAGATAGAGGGACAGCTTGTGCTGAGTTCCAGGAACTGTGAGTAGAAGGGGCTAGAGGTGTGAGTGAAGGGCACTGGGCCTGCAGAGATGGATGGGGACAGGTCATTCAGGGCCTTGGTGCCCACACTAAGGGGTTTGGATACTATCTGGAGGGATGAGAGAACAAGATTGGGAGCTAAAATGTTCCCTGTGGCTTCAGGGCTGGAAGACTGCACTGAAGGTGGGGAGATTGGTGAGGAGGCTGCTGCCTGGAACGGAGAAGAGATTTGGACTGGGGTGCTGGCAGTGGGGGTGGAGAAAAATAAGCAGCTTTGTGAAGTTTTTAGAGGTAGAATTGGTTATGTATGGCTGTGTAATAAATCACCCCCAAATTTTGCAGCTTAAAACAGCAAATTATTATTTTTCATGATTCTGTCGGGTGACAGGGCAGTTCTGCTTCATGTGGTATCAGCTAGGGGCACTCAGGGTGGCTGGACGTTTCCAAAATGGCCTCATCCACATGACGGGCAGCTGGTACTGGCTGCCGGCTGGGAGTTCAGCTGGGACTGTTGGCTGGGAACCTCAGTTCACCTCCACGTGGCCTCTCCATGGGGTTTGGGCTTCTCACTGCATAGCCAGATGGCTTCCAGAAACAGAAGCTGACAGGCTTTTTAAGGCCTGGGCTCAGAAGTCCCAGAACATGACTTTTGCCATATCCTAATGGTCAAAGCCAGTTCCAGGACCAGCCTGATTTAAGGGTAATAAGTGCTACCTCTTTGTTGAGGATTGATGGTGATGATGACGAGGTACATAGTATTGTATGTTCAATTTAGTAGCATTTAGTGCATTCAGAATGTTGTGCAACCAACACTTCTCCCTAATTTCAACTTTTTTATCACTTCATAAAAACACTCCGTAGCCATCATCCCACTTCCCTTCTCCCCACCCCTTCGTTACCTGCTTTCTGTCTCTATGGATTTGCCTACAAGGTCTGACCATTAAGTTTGCGAACTTGTCACCGTGCACTTACATTGGCAGCACTGTACAAATAGCTCGGTAAGATTTCATAACCCTGGTATATCAGTGTCTCACAGCTGTGTTCATGTCGACGTGTGACGGTGTCTTGCTGAGTGGCGTTCATATTGTTGTTGCATGTTTTTGTGTGCTGTTGTGAGAATGTCTGAGCTTGAATTATAGCAATGAACAAACATTAAATTTCTTGTTAAACTTGGCAAGAGTGGAAGTGAAATCAGGGACATGTTAGTCCAAGCTTATGGGGCTAATGCCATGACGAAAGCAGCAGTGTACAAATGGATTAAATGTTTTTTGAGGGGGGAGAACGCGTCAC